ACCTTTCAAATAATCCAGTCTTCTGGTGCTGGGAATCAAGCCCAGGGTTTCACACATGCTAATGCTAGCAAGTGCTCTACTGCTAAGCTACAATCCCAGCTCTAAACAGTCATTTCTGATTATTTGTTAACTTTGGTAAGTGTCTAATTAGTTTCAAGTGATGTTAATATACCTAGTGGTTCACTTACATCTTGCCACAAGTAGCTGCTTCAGAAAGAAATGTTCCTCTTAAATTAAGTAATATCAGATTTTAGGATTTTTTAAAATGTTAATAACCAAAGTGTTCCTTTCATTTACTGCTTTAGCAAACACCCTCAAATATATCATCCTTTCAGATTTTTTTTCTGTATATAAAGTCATGCTAAGGACTGAATGATTTTGTAGAATTAGGATTGTTCTAACTATGTGAAATTAAAAAGTCTTCATGGTGAGGAAAAAGGGAAGATAACAATGCAGTATATTAACTAGGTTTACTTGTTTTTCAGTTTAAGTCCACTCTTTTAGATGCAGGTATTTTTGCTTAACTGGCTTCACTTCTGTCCCTCACATTGTCCTTTCTGTCTCCTATTACTCTCTTGACAGCAGTTCCCCAGAAAAGACTTTAAATGATAACGCTCTTGATTATTTCTTTCCTTTTGGAACTAAAGGGGAAAGGAATTGAAAGGGAGAAATGACTGGTTGGGTGCAGAATTCTAAGAATGAAGTCGTTCATTGGGAGATTTGAGCAGTCACCACTGAGCTTTTCTATTTTAGGATATTGACTCCTCTTATTGCCTTTGTCTTTCCCCAGTTAAAACCAGTGGGGAGAACTTGTATAAAATGAAACTGCTATCTTCTGGGTCTTCTAGGGGGAAGTAGTGGTTATATTAGTACTTAGCAATTTTTCTTTAAAAAGAAAAATGCTCAGGCCTTAAGAAAACTACCATCTCAAGATTTTTTTTTCCAATTCTGAGGAAATCTGCCTAAATTTAATCACTGAAGAATTCAGCCTTCCTTTAAGAAAAAGACAAATGACTAGTGGTTTTCAGTTGCTGGGTTTTATTAAGATATTGGCAAAATTTCAACATACTCCTTACCTGAATAAACAGTTAATAAATAAAAGATGAAGGGTCACTACATTACAACTCAACTCAAAAGTGATCAGTAGAGCAGGTTTGTAAGATTTACTTGGTAAGAAACGACTCACTTCACTCACTTCACTCCATAGAGAATTCATTGCAAAGAAACGCCATGAGTAAGAGAAAGCCTCTTTCACCAAGGAGCACCTAGAGAGATTGCAGTGATGCATTTGGATTACCTAATACATCAAAGTTAATTAAAGTATTTCTTTTTCAAAAGCAACTGCTGTGTCAGTCTGGAATTCCCTATCCTATTTCATATTTTCTAATTAGTACAAATAAGTAATCTTTGAAATAGATAAAATGTGACAGGAAGTAACAATTACTTTTTCAGTACAGTACCATTTGTCTGGAAGATAGTTGTGTTCTAATACTGGAAGTACCATTTTGTTTCGAAAATGACATTTAATCTTTTCATAGGTCAGAACACAAGAGTGGGTATTTGTCTTTAAAACATCACATGGTTTCAAAGGTGAAAAACATGTTTTCTTTTGCTAATTTATAATCCAGGTGTAAAAAAAAAAAACTGTAGTATTCCCTTTATAGCTTTGCTTAGGTAAAAATGCTGAGTGAACAAATAAAGTTTAAAAATAATTTAGATCATTTTCTTACAAAACCTCAGCAAGCCTCTGATGGGAAAGGAAGTTCTTGAACTACAGCAGTTTTATCTGTAAATACTGAATTATTTCATGCATCATTTTCATCTGCCCATTGGATGTCTGCATGTCCTGCTGGCACAGTGTTCTAACAATGGAGTGTGGTTGTCATGAAAATGCAGTGTTGATACCACTGTAAGTGTGGTCAGGATCATCCTCAGGTGTTGACACTGACATTGTTGACATTGTCCTTGGAAAAGGTGAAAACTTTCAAGGAGCCTCCTACTTAAATTTAATGCAACTGGAACTGGAACTTTAATTGTGTTACTTCAAGGACAATGGATGGCACTTCTAGGTAAAGAAAGGGTATATACATGTGTTCCTACCTGAACTCTGTAGTACAGACCTACATGGGACTTAATTACCCCATTATTTGGTACTGTAATGTTGTCTAAATTCAGATACCCCTCAAAAATACACATCTTGAAAGTGAAAAAGGAAACCTTTAAATTAAGGATTGACTCCCTTTGAAACTCACAGTGAATGTACAAGGAGTAATGTCAGTTGGTTTCCCTATCCAATACTACACATTCTTGGTTATATTTGTTTTACTATTTCCTATTCTAACAAAACTTGTTTAGGTAGCAGGCAAACAAATTGATGCAGACCATGTTAAATTGAAAAAAGGGATACTGGATACTGCCACTCGATTGAGTGTAGAACTTTCACCACCACTAAATTACACAATGATTAAAAATATAAAACACATAGTTCACATACTATACCTCAGCATTTACAGTTAATATATTATATACTTTTATATCTGTCTACTATTTTTACAGTCACCAGATACACCATCATTAAATAGAAGTTACAGAAATGTGTAGATACCAGTAGTTAGAGGGTAACTTATTGCTTACGTTAGCAAGCAGCAAATAAGGGCACAGGATTTGAAGTGAAGGGAACTACTTTCTATTACCAGTGGCATTAGGATATAACACTGCATTTCACAAAGCACTGCTTTTTATCTAGCTTATAGAACCAAGAGCAGCATATATCAGACCAATAGCCACTACTTTAATATGTATCATAGAATTTTAAAGGACTTACCTTACAAATGGTACCTAACTACCCTATAAATATGCATGTGTGAACAAATGAATAGTTGTTACTTTTTACAATATTGGTTTATCACCTTGACGACACTAGAACTACTTTTCTCTATTTTCTAGAGAGCTAATAGTAAGAGAAATGGAGTTAACACTGCTATGTTGTCAGACCCACAAAATCCAGGCCTTTAAAAATGGGTCTGTGTTTGTCCAAACTTCATCCACCCATTTATTCCCCACTGAAAAAAACCTATTACTTGTAACTTCTTTCCTTTCACCGTTATTCTGATCAAAAACGTTACTGATAAGACAACCACAGAAAATTTAAGAAATATATATTTTTTTTACTTAAGCATTTTGGGCTACAATGTATACCAATATTCTGCTGCCTGTTTTCTTGTTTCCTTAGATAATTTGATTTGAAACTGACACTGCATCTGATGGGTTGTCAACAAGACCTAGGCTTCAGAAAATGGCAAATATGAGTGAGGTCCATATATGGGGCAGAACGTCAGAATGATGAAAAATTCTAATACTATATAGTTGGAGCCATGCTTACTCATTCCTTTCAACCATGTGTCACAAGACTTGAGGAAAGAATAAATGACTTCAAAGTCAAGAGAAAATAAATACTGAAAATCTCTTACATTCAAATTTTAAAAAAATAAAATCTGTAGATTACCAATCAGATCATTGCTAAAGTGAGGCTTTTTTTTTAAAGTTACTTGATACAGCTGTCCTGGTATCCATAATAGGCTATGAATTACCCATCTATGTCTTTAAAATGTGGGGATTTTAGTCGTCTTTCATGGGTCTAGAGAACATAAATTGTATTAGCATGTAAAAACATGATTAGGCAATGGGCATTTCTCAGCAAGAGCAGCCAGTGCCTCCAAGCATGAGTGACTGACATCTCCAGCGGGCTATTCCTGAATATTAACATGGCTGGCCCAGGAGTGACTGGGGGGAGGATGTGGAGGGGACATGGAAACATTCATGATTCTCAGAGAATCAGAGGCTGCTTTACTGAATGAAACTGATAGTTTATTTGCTAACTGAAGATATGCCTCTGGCTTAAAACTGCAGAAAACAAATATTTTTTAAATTTCAAGTATAACTAAAACATTGAAATGAGAAGCAGGTAATCCATCTCTGCAGTCTGAGGTCACATGGAGGAGGACTGTGGCTGGTCTTCCAATTGGGACTAAAAAGACCTGGCTCTTAGTAATCTGCATTCTCCTTTGTACTTGACCTCTGGGTTCACCTTAGGCAGTATTCTCATCCTCCTTCATACCAATTACTGCATTCCCTTATGGAAATCAATTTTAGATAAGCTAAAACTAAGACTTTTGTCCTTTAAAACCACTTTTTATGTTAGAGTAGTATATGCCTTTGCTGTCTAAACTTTAAAAAAAAAGTAGAAAACAAATGTTACGTTCTTTTTAAATGGCATTTTGATCCTTGTGTATTTGTACCCGTCATCATCTCTAGTCAACCAGTTTTATTCTTGAGATGAAGGTACAGTGAAAAACACATTAGCATCACAGATTAAAACCAGCTGACAGTGGTTCGTCTAAAATTATAGATAACAAAAATTCCACCAAAAGCACCATAACAGGTTATGAAACTCCCAAATAACTATAGCCCTAGGAAATACTTTTAATTCAAAAAATGTTTATAGTTAAGTTTTTTATGTTATACGGGAAAAAATCAGTAATTTTTTGACTCCTCACAAGTCTGAGACTATGATACTTTTACATTAGTTTTCTACTTTCATCATTACCAGTTAAAACCTTCATGGCTTTAGTCTTTTACCTGCCTAAACAAAGGGTGGGGAAAGATCCTTCAAAGTCCCCAGGATCTTGAGGGACAGTTCCCAATTAAATTTAATTCTGCATTAAGTTTCCCATAGACAGATTAGGCACAGCAGACCGGGTTTCAACTGAGTTACAATATCAACTCTATATATCCTGACTGAAATAACTTCTACTAGTGACGTGAAGGGATGGTGGAAAGAGGGTTGTATGTAGGTGTAGAGACACATCACAGGGACCAGTTGTATAATTTTGCTAGTGAATCTGCCAATACTTTTTTTAGATTGAAAACACTATATTTTGAGTTTCCTAGAGATCTATTTACACTTAAGAATTCAGCATCCATGGATTCATAATGAAGCACATGTGCTTTAGAAATGTCTACCTTATTTCTACTCTGCTAGTGGTGATTTTAATTGAGGGGGAGCTAGCTAGCCTACTTTAAAGAAAAAGTATTATATTTTATAGCTCCAGGGAATATCTGGATATGGAGTATCATTATTCTTTCTCGCCTTTGTTGTATTTTCACTGTACCAGCTATTTTCCCTCCATGGTACAGAACTTCTTAATATCCTGTTTCTCTTCCCACTTCGAGTAAGTGAGGACAGACTAATGCCTATTTTGTGGGAAGGCTCTCGAACAGATAGAAATGGATAGAATTTTGGATTAAACCTGAGCCCTTGCTGCCTCTTGGAGTAGTGGTGGTGTAAATGATACAGTTTAGAAACTCTTTTTCCCAGGAATTTAAACTGTTCATTTTCTAACCCAGAAGAGAGAGGAGACAAGCTCTCCATTCTGTGTATCTGCTGCACTGTTGAACCCAAATTAAAAGTAGCCAGAAGCTCTCCTGCACCACTCTGTTCAGACAGTGATGATTGAAATGATCTTTCCTCCATTATTACCTCATTAATAAGATTTGCTTTCTTTGGTACACCAGGACCAAACATCTCAACTGGTAGCAAAAACTGGGCTCTGTGAGGTTTCCTTGCTTCTATTTGTGTGAGATCTAGGTAGCCTGGGTCTTCCAGCACGTTGATTTGAGACCCTGGGCTCAGGCTAGTTCTATCAGTAAATGAATCCACACGCCCATCGTAGCCTAAATCGGCTGGGGCTGAGCACTGATGCTGAGGCCAAGGGCGTTTGCATTCTCCATGATTCTCCTTATCATCCCCACCATCTTCTTGCCCTCCTTGAAAAGAGTTCTCTGTCCAATCTGATTCCTCACTAACATTTACAGCTTTGTTCATGTCCCTCAGGAATACCACAATAACAGTGATGTTATCACTTGACCCAGCATCACGAGCTGATGCCACTAATTTGTGGGCAACCATGCTGCTGTCTCCATTATTCTCTTTCAAGTGGTCAGACACAACTTTCACTGCCTCATCAGGGTTCACGGTATCATAGAAGCCATCACAGGCCAGAATGAGGTAGTCTTCAGTCCCATCCAAAACAGTAGAGGCAGAATCTGCATCCCCACAGATATATGGCTTATGTTCAGCATCTCCTGTGGGAATTAGAAAGTAGGGACATCAGAAGGCAGACTTTGGTTTACCTGCATACTTAGAGTGTTTATGGCCAATGACATGATTGATTGTAATTTAATGGAAAGAATTATAAAATAATTTTAGATAAAGCACTTGAATTCTGTGTTAGATGCTGTTTATGACTTAATCCCAGTTAAACAATTGCCAGTCACAAGACTTAATTTCTTACCTAATTAATACTCTGAGCCTTGTGTGTCTGGCTATGGTTTAGGCTTTGCTGACTATGAAAACAAATAATGTCAAGTCTAAATGTGTTTCTGAACTGAAAAATACAGTCCTACATAGGAAAACTTTGATTCAGTAGAGCTTTCTCTTACTGGTTGTTAGGTTTGATTTTTAATTGCAACTTGAGAACAAGTCCACATTGGAAAAAAATAAAAACAAAGTTACGACCATCCTCATCAAATCATTTTTGTTCTATCCTTATTTAGAAATCAATAAATGGCTTCGTGCTGCAAGCACAGAGGAAGGCTTGAGTTACAAGGGATTTTAAAAATCAAGTGTGACTCCCTCAAATCGAGAAAATGCATGCTTATCCAAAGAGAGCTAGCATGCAGTTTTCTTGACTCCTAGTCCACTGGGATTTCTACTTTTTAATGCTGCTTTAACTTCTGGAGAACAAACAAAATATGCAACCATTTGTCTCTTGTCTTCAGAAGTTACTGTGCTCTTGTTTTCTTCATATGTCTCTGATTTTCCACCTGTCTGAAATATTCACACACACACACCCTGAACTATTGTGAGAACCCCCAAGGCCCTCCTAGGCCTTTGTTTCTTTTCTTGCTGAGTTCATTTACTCACAGAATGACATTTGAGCTAGGCCTTGAAGAATAATCTATCAGCAAGCAGAGAAAGTTCCTTGCTTAAAGGAACAGCTTAAGCAAAGACACAGAGGCAACTGTTAGGGAGCAATGTGTTAAGAGAGAGACTGGAGACATTGCCACTAAGCTAGGTTTGTATCACTGCTGAGATAATTTATCATTTACAATGCCCTTGGAACCTTCAGATCTAGAACACTACCAGATCCATGTGTTTACATTCATTGTTTTCCTTTAGGTACTTGGAGAGAGCCTAGCTGGTGTCCTTAACCACTAAGCTACACATAAAATAATGCCATGTAACTTAATGGCTGTGGACACCAGTTCTGGTGTCAAGACTGCCTAGTTCCAAAAATCCTAGCTCTTACATTTGTTACCTATACAACTCATTATTGTCCTTTCCTTTATATTAAAATGAAGACAAGTTACTGTTTCTGCTATTACAGGTTCTCTCTTGCCAAAGAAATACATTCTTTCCAACATGTCACATCCCTACTTAACCCTCAAATGGGTTCAGAAATTTCAAAGGAACCCTGTGTAGAACTCTACTGTAACCAGTTAGGGCAGCCTGTTGTATGACTGGATGCCAGAATAATTTACAGGGGTAGTATATCTGTAAGTGAGATGAGAGGGTTTTTAGACCCTACAAATGCTCAGTTTCGCTGCTTCTATTCTCATTCTATGCATACCTATGATCTTCTACATTATTTTATTCATTTTTTTGGTGGCATGGAGGTTTGAAATCAGGGCTTCATGCTTGCAAAGCATTTGCTCTACCACTTGAGTTTCAAATCAGATTCATTTTGCTCTGGTTATTTTTGAGATGGGGGTCTCACAGACTATTTGCCCAGGCTGGCCCCAAACAGCAATCCTCCAGATCTCAGCCTCCCCAAGTAGCTAGGATTATAGGTGGTAGCCACTGATGCCTGATTTCCATTCATTATTATACTAGTCAAAACCATCTTCCTCAGGCATGATTTTGATTTCACCAACTTCACTTCTTTACTATAATGCCTCCCAGTAGACTGTTGGAGCTAATTAAAATGTCCAAACACAGTATTCAGTATTTTCTACCAATCCGCTTCATTTTCTGTACTCTACCTGAATGAATTACCATCATCATCATTTTCTGAATTCCACCTCTAAAAATAAATGTGATCTGAGTCATACTGCTCTGCAAAAGTCTTGTTTTAGTGCTACAATTAAAAGACTACTGCAACTGTTAGTTGCAGAACATACAAAGATTTGCACAGAGAAAATGCTGCCAAAATTCTGGCTTTTCACCTGCTCTACTGTTGGGTGTCAAATTCATGACATTTCGCCCCCAAATTTGGTAGGAGGGCCTGAATATCTGTTTCATGGTAGAAATGGCAGCATCCTTTTGTCTTTAACCTCCTTTCTCCATATGCTAGGAAACATGCCATGCCTCTGTCAATGTTGGCTCATAAATCTGAAGGGCTAATGGGAAAAGCTTTTCATTTTCAAAGCTTTACATATCACTTATTTTCTGAGTGGAACCCTGCTTTCTTGTCCCCTATTTTGTTCACGAGCTTTCCAAATCTTCTTCACATTCCTCATCTCCCTAATCAAATTAAGCTACTAGATTTTGGTAGATCCTAAAAATAAAAACTTAACAAAAGCAATTGTTTGCCAAATCAAATTTTTTTCAAACTACCACAGTATTCCTCTTTCCCTTTCACCATCAAACCACCCAGTAAACTAAGCTACACTTGTTTCTTTTTGTTACTGCCTGCTTTTTCTCACCTGATTGTTTTCTGTAACTTGATTAGCAGTCTTTTACACCTACGAATTTAAAACATTTCTCTCAAATATCATGAATTATTTCCTATTTTTAACATTCTGTGATCTTTTACTTTTTTTGTGTGACACTGGGGTTTGAAGTATGGACTTAATGCTTGCTAGTCAGGCACTGTACCATCCCTAAAATATTTTTTATTTAATTTATTGGTGTAATTGGCGTCACTCTAACAGCCTGAAAAATACTTATTTTTTAAAAATTTATTGGTGGAACTGGGGTTTGAACTCAGGGTTTCATGCTTTCAAAGCAGGAACTCTACCACTTGAGCCATGCCTCCAAACTTATTTATTTTTTGGGTCTGGGGTTTGAACCCAGGTGTTCATGCTTGCTAGACAGGCTCTCTAAGGCTTGACCCATGCCTCCAACCCTCCATGACTTTCCACTTGACTTTGTCGATTACTCACTGCTCAGAGCCTCCTTTCTTTAGCATCTGTAATACCCCTCTTCTGTCTCTCTGATCCCTTCTCGATTTTTCTTTATTCGCTGCTGTGCTGTTAAGAATGTGCCAGGCTGGTTGTAAGTATGATGCATGTGCTACACCACTGAATACAAAAATGTATTTTTGAACTAGGTGCTGTTACTATTCTAACTTCACAAAGGAACAAACAGAAGTAAAATTTAAAAGGACCACAGCCTATACTGTGGCAGAGCCAAGATATAAACCCAGAGAGTTAAACATTATGTTATTTAACATAACATCCTGGCATCTTCATATAACATGTATTTCCTGGGCAGTGTCATCCATGTCTATAGTCAACTACTTACATTAACATTTCAGTTTGCTAATATCATTATAAAATAAGTTACCACATCTCTATCTCCAACCTAGAACTCTCAGCTAAGCTCCAGATCTGTATTTCCAACTGTACAAATTTTCTTCCAAGATATCCCAGCAGTACCTCGAATATAAAATACATCCAAACTGAACTCATTATCTGCCCTTCCCACCCCCAAAACCGCTGCTTCTTTATTATAAATGCTTATCATCTTCCCAGTCATAAGTCAGAAATCTGGAAGTTAGCTTTCCTCTTCCCTACAGCCTGTCATTCTGTTTTATCAATTTACATCCTCCTTATCCCTTTTAGGCTGTCCTCATCTTTATAAACAAACTGTACTGTCAGCCTCCTGAAAGATCTTTCATCTAGGCCTTTCCTACTCTAGTATGTCTTTTATATTGTAACTACAAAATACCTTTATAAATACAAAACTGATGATATAGCCCCTCTGCTTAGTCACCTGGTAAAATCTAGGCTACTTAGTGTTAAATATAAAGCCCTTCACACTTCTAATCTCCTTTCACTACTATCCTCTGCTGTAGCTTCCTGTACTTGCTATTTCTAAAATACTCCATGCCCTTTCAAATATTTTTACTCCTCTATACCTGGGATTTCCTAAACACAATCCTCCATACTGAACTCTAAAGTCACTTCTTGTGTGATGTTTACTTTACTCTCTCTTACACTGTCACTTAGTCAAGGACATTCTTCCCCTGCTTTAGTTTCACCTTGTGTTCTACTTTTAGAATCAAGAAAAGGCTATCCTCCAGTAAGTGGGTTCATAGCAAGCATCAAAGATAACCTCCTCAGTTTCTGACAAAGACAGGTAAGATCACAAGGTCTTTAGAGTTGTCAAAAATAATTCTATATAGGAGTGTACTTTAGAAATTTTCTTTTTGGTCTTGTTCCAGAGTTCATAATAACTCCCTCATTGTAAAGTAAAACTAACTGAGATTTTTCAAGAGGTATTTGTAGACTCTTTTTCTCATTCACTCTTCTGCTCATATTTGGGCCACTTCACAGCTTGCCAGCACCTTCCCAAAGAGAGGGAAGGTGAAATTAAACCAGTCCTTTCAGATTTTTTTACTCTCCTAGAATTTTTTTGGTAATGATAAACTAAATTTGGTAATTAGATGTATACTCTTCCCATGCTAACCTGATGTTCAGTTAACTTCATTACTTGAGAGAGGCAGAGATTAAGGATTGCAGAATATATATGCATGTATGTATATATCACCCATGTAACCATATTGACATACTGGTTTTAAAAACAGGGAAGTGAAGCTAAACCATAAAGCCTAAAATAATTAACCCAGGGCCCAAAGTAAGACAAAGAGGGAAACAGCTTGATTCTTTGCACTTACACCTGCATCTTGTCCAGTCAGCTATTGCAGTTCCACTGACTTTCATCTTTTCTGGGGGGGCGGGGGTGTTTCTGGGGATTGAATCCAGGTGCCCATCCTAGGCAAGTATTCTACCACTTGAGCTATACACCAGCCCTTTATGTTTTTAACTTTGATTTTGAGGCAGACTACTCTTGAACTTGAGAGCCTCCTGCCTCGCCTCCCAAGTAGCTGGGATTATAGGTGGTTGCCATCACACCCTGATCTTTAAAAACCAGGTTAGGGCTGAGTATGTGGCTCAATTGTAGAGCCCTTGCCTAGCATGTGCAAGGCCCAGAGTTCAAGCCCCAGCACAGCAAATAAAAAGAAACCCAGGATTATCTGACAAATTACTATATTCCATATTTGGGAAATAATTTTCATATAAAAAGTACAGAATATTTTTGTATGAATTCTATTATTTATGTCATTTTAAAATTCATTGGAAAATGTGAAGGTATAAATTAAATAAATATGAGTAAAATATGGGGAAAGCCTTCCAAAAAAATACTGGTTTTAAGCTAAATATCCAAAATGGAATGAAATGAGGATCACTGCTTTTAAGCAGATTTGTACATTAACAGTTAAAGGCTTCTATTAAACTAAAGGCTAGAAAATAGTAAATTCTACATTTCTTGATGTAGTTCC